GGTATGTATATACAATAAATTATTACTCAGCCATAAGAAGAGATGAAATACTGCCATTTGCGATAACATGGATCGATCTCGAGATAATCATACTAACCAAAATAAGCCAGACTGAAAAAGTTGAAAATCACATGATATCACTTATATGTGGGATATAAACCTAAAAGCAATAAATGAACAGGACAAACAGAGACTCAGGGACATGGACAATGGACTAGTAGTTTACCAGAGGTTAGGGGGTGGGGAGGAGGGAAGAAGTAGACAGGGTAAAAGAGATCTAATATAGGGGGACTAGGGGAGGGTGAAGTGGATAAAGGGGATCAAATATATGGTAGCTGAAGGAAACTGGACTCTGGGTAGTCATCACACAATAGAATATATAGATGATGTTAAATAATGTACACCTGAAAATTATATAATTGCATTAACCAATGTTACCCCAATAAACTTAATTTTTAAATAATAAAAATAAAATAAAAAAATAAAAATCTAACTCTAGTAGCTGAGTTTCAAAGAGGACTGGGGCGGGTGGCAAGGCGAGGTATGGGGCAAAGTGGAAGCAGGTCTATGGCCATAATCCAGGTGACAGAGGATAGTGGCTCAGCCCAGACTGGTCACAGTAGATGACCAGATTTTTCATCAGCTTTGTAAGTCAAACCAACAGAATTTTCTGATGAGGGGTGAGAGAAGGGGAGGAGTCAAGGACGGCTCAAGGACGGCATTTGGGGATGTTTGAGAAGGCTGTGGGTAGACGAAGTCTAGGGATGTGTTAGCTCCTATTGCTGCTGTAATAAATTTAGTGACTTCAAACAACACCAATTCATCTCTTATGGTTCTGCAGGTCATAAGTAGGAAACCAGTTTCACCGAACTAAAGTCAAGGTGTCCGTGCGGCTGGCTCCTTCGGGGAGTCTCCAGAGGGAAGAATCTGTGTCCTTGCCTTTTCTCTCCCTTCAAAGGGCAACACCCCGATTCCTGCTCCCATCTTCATGCTGCCGTCCCCTCCTCGCCCGCATCCGTCTCCCCCAGCCTCCTTCTTATGAGGACCCTTAGGGTTATGTTTAGGGTCTACCTGGACAATCCAGGACCAACCCTCATCTCAAGATCCTTAACGTAGTCGCATCTGCAGAGTCTCTTTTGTAATATAAAATTCACTGGTTTCAGGAAATAGGACCTGGATATCTTTTGATGCCACGACTCAGCTTACCGCAGTGGGTAAATTCAGTTCAGTTTGGGATGTGCTGAGTTTGAAATGTCTATTAAGCATCCAAAGGGAAACATTGAGTAGACTGCTATTCAGAGGACTTAGACTAAGGATATTCATTTTGGAGTCACCAGGATACAGATGAGATTTAAATGCATGAGACTGAATTTGAACCAGATACTCAATTTCCTATATCTGTCAACCAGATGTACAGATCTGGGTGCCTCTGCGAGCACAGTGGATTCAAACAGCAAGTGCCACCCAGGGTCCATTCTAGCCCCGGGGACGCCCAAGGCACCAGATTTCAGAGGCAGCAGTGGCAGAGATTCTAGAAGCATCCGGGTGTGAGCATCACAGGTACTCTCTGAGGTGTCCGTGTCCTGACAGGCTGCAGTGGGGTCTCCTCTGGGGTAGTTCTAGGTGCATTTTGGCATGGCCTCTAGCCCTGCCTCTCTGGCTCTCCCAGGAAGAGTCTGTGAGTGATCTAAAATCCTTTCATCCACCCCGTTTCTGCTGAACTACCTGGAGCTGCTGTGTGACACTTGCAATTAAGAGTTCCGACCGATGCACTTCCAACTTGAACTATGAGAACCAGAATCCTGTACCCGGCCCAGGCTCTGGGGACTCTCTCCAGTGTCCTGTCTGGAGAGGAGCTCAGTCGGTTCCACACACACTGTTTTATTCAATCTTCATGACAGACCTGTGAGGCAGTTTCCATTATTTTTAGTTTGTAGATGAGAAAACGGCCAAATCAGGTCATCGGACTCCAAGTACAGTGCTCTCACCACCGCCCGAAGGGTCAGTGTCCCCAGGCTGCGGGCCAGAGAGCACAGATGTCCTCAGGGAACTGGATCAAAACTAGCCTGAAATGGCAGTTCCCAGGGAAGATGACCCGGATGGCTGGGCTAGAAGCCTGCTGTTGGTGGCAGGGGAATCGTGAAGGTCTTGGAGCTGCAGAGTTGAGATGGTGGGTTTCACTGCCAGGTGAGGACTATTCTTTACCTTCTGTGAGTGGATTCCAAAAAAAAATGCGCGTCGAATTCACCGAAATGAGCAGCAGAGCATGGGAGAGGATGTAAACTCGCCAGCCAGCCCTGGGACAGCAGCTCCGAGTCCACGTGCTGCTGATGGTGGATCTGTCATCCCCGTTCCCAGTCACGAGAGCAGGACAGCTGCCAGAGTGAATTCTGGAAACCGCAGGGATTTGCTTTGGACCCGCCCCCTGCTGGGTGGCCTCGGGCGAGTCCTTCGTTAGCTTCTCTGAGCCAGAGTTTCTTGACCTCTGAAGAGAGGACCACAGAGCCTACCCAAGTGGGTGCAGATACAGGTTAGGCTGCTGTCCAAATGGCCCAAAGCCCCAGTGGCTGAGACAATACAGATGTTTGTTTCTCTCTCAGTAACTGTCCAGGCTGGTATGGTGGCTCCAGCCCCATCCAGGGGGACACCCAGCCTCCCTCTGTTGTGTTCCTCTGCCACACCCAGCTAGAGAAAGGTTTTTTACTCACGGGGCCTGAAAATTAGCCCCAGCTCACCTGGGGCCAAACAGTGAAGTTGTGGGGAGAGCGAGCGAGCACATACAAGCCTGGGGTTCTGCTTTTATTGGGGGTCAAGGGTGGGGGGCCTAAGGTGTTACAGGCTCTCTCTTTATTGGCGAATTTAAAACATAAGAGCGGGAATTTGAAGCTGAAGGAGAGAAAAGGCAAAGGGCCCGAAGGGTCAGTTACTGAAATCGACCCATGTCTCTGAAACAAAGGCGCCTCGGTGTGGGGAGGCGGCCCAGCTCTTCAGTCTGTTTATTGGAGATAGCAGATTCCTCCGCAATCGAAGCTTAGGTCTGCCTCTCACATTACAAAAATGAAAAAGAAAAAACCGAAGGTCAGGGCTCGCTCTACATCGGTGTTGGCAAAGGAGGGAAGAAAGGGGTACCCACCATAGACTTTGGCGGGAGCAGACACTGCTGCAGCCCTTTAGAAGCATCTGGAAGTTCAAAGGACACACATCCTTTGACCCGGCAGCGCCACTGCTGGCCATCTATCCCACAGAAATACTGGCAAAAGAGCTCAAAGGGTATAATCAAGGATTATAGCTCAGGATCGTTTATGACAACAAACCAGCAACAAGCACAACCTACAGCTAAGTCAGCTTCTGATTAGAAAATGGTGATGTAATCGGCAGAGTGGCCAGCCTACAGCACACCCTGCAGCCCCTGGAGGACCGAGTCAGGAAGTGTGGACCGACTTAAAAGGATGCCCTTATACCGTTGGGTGAAAAAAGCCCACAGCAAAACCATACGTCTAGCGTGATCATTTTTTGTTCAGAACGAAGGCAAATAAATAAAGGGAAAAAAAGACCAAACCAAAACCAAACAAATAAACTTACATCCGTGCCTGGTAAGATATCTGTACGCTTGAGCACTGAGGACGCATGGGAGGAGAGGGACCAAAACGTTAAAAGAAATTACTTGGAGGAAAGGGAAGTAGAGGGAAAAGAAACCCTCTTCTTCCTTGTTGATGATGGATACATATTGGGAACAATCTACATGTTCACCGCGTAATGGGTTAAATAAATCATGATACGTATATATGACGGAATACCACGAAGCCGTTCAAAAGAACGGGGTGGCTTTATTTATAGATATGGAAATAGTACTAAAGCGCAGCGTTATATGAAAAAGCGAGCTGTAGAATCCTATGTATACCATCGTTTATATGAATAGTATAAGAGAACTATGCCTCTGCGTGTGTGTGTGTGTGTGTGTGTGTGTGTGTGTGTGTGTTGTTACAGGCACAGAATATTCTAAAAGAATACGCAAGAAACCAGAAATCATTGTAACCTCTGGGGAAGGAAATTGGGTGACTAGGACCAGAGGAAGAAAGATTGTTCAATTTCTTAACCCTTTTGTAACTCTTAAACGCATCCCATGCATATATGGCCTAGCTCTTCAGTCTGTTTATGGGAGATGGCTGTCACTGAAGCGGATTCAAAAATATATATATAATTTAAAATATATATATATATATAATTTTTAAAAATATCAGGATTAAGAAATTCACTTTAAAAGGTCCCCCCGCCACCCCACTCCTAGAGTGTCTGCTGAGCAAGTCCGGCTGGAGCAGAGGGCCACATCAGGGCGGGTATGACGCTCGCCAGACCGGCACCAACCCAGCCACTCAGACTGAGAGAAGCAAGTGCAGAAGGACAGACGTCACCCCGCAGCCGGGCATTTTTCAATTCACCATCGTCTGTCACTAGGAAGGACCGGTTATCATGGGGAAGCAATGTGGTCCGGTTAAGATATTTACTCACGAGTTTAGGGCGCAGTCAGCGTGAGTGCTGTGGTCCACACACTTTAAGAGCTTCACTGGTCTGTAGAGTGAAAAGAAATTATATTTTAGAGATTCTTTAAATGGCTTTCATTCCTCAGACATTTATGGTGTGCCTCTACAGTCCTGGGGACAGTCTCAAAGAACAGAGTTTCTATTTTTTAAAAAAAATTAGCCAGTGTTTATTATACACTATGTATCAAGGATCGATTATGTATTTTACCTAAATTATGTCATTTATTTCTCACAACAACCACATGGAATGAGTACTATCATTATTTCCAATTCACGGTTGAGGACGTTGCCCAAGTTCTCAGAGCAGCAAGTTGTGGAGCTGAACTTGAACCCTGCAGGCTCATGCTAGAACCCGAGCATGGTTTTGCTTCAGTGTAGATGTATGAGTTTGCTTGGGAAAATCTCTCGATAATTACTTTGGGCAGAAGGTTGGACTCAAAGCACATAGGTGACAGCTGCTGCTCAGGGACTTCGGAAGAACAGGAAATACATTGTTCACTCTGTGACATGCTATGCGACCGCTTCCTAGGACTCATCTACCTTTCAGTAAATCTACGCTCCACGGCCATTCTTTATGAGAGTGGTTTGCGATTGTGTTATGCATCCCCACCACCCCCCACCCCCCAAAAAAAACGCATTGAGTTTCACTGAGTCTGGTTGAATACGGTGCTAAGCAGAAACCAACCAGGAGGCAAGAGAGGCTAAGGACAAATGAGACCTGGCCAAAATTTACAAGAATCTTGGGGAGAACTTTCGAGTGCCACACCACAGAAGCCAGTGTCACTTGAGTTTTTGAGAGACAGGAGGTTCTCACTTACATCCGGCTGGGAGTTTGATTCGTTAACCTTTGTGCTCGCCCACGTTAAACCTATTATCACTTCCTCTATGCTCCCAGGAGGAGTACAAAACTCCGCTTTAACACACAAAGAGCAAGAAACAGAAGCCAGGGGAGCTGGACCAGCTTGCAAGGGAACAGCCCCGAGGCCAGCTTAGGTGGGGACAACACGGGAGCACTAAAAGCAGGCTGAGACACTGGGCCCCGTGACTTCAAAAAAGACAGCCTCAGGGGAGCTCCTGGACCAAAGCGAAGTGATTACAAATGTGAAAGTTTAAGCCACAATTTTCTCCATCATTGAGCTGTTTTAGAGTAAAACTTAACTTTCTTAGGATCTACTAAAATCTGGTGCTTCAAAAAAGGAAGGGTCCTCTAGTAGAAAGAAATGCGCACGCTTCAAGGCCACACAGCACGGGGGTCAAAACTCAGGTCTGTTGTTATGTCTGTTTCTCATTCTAGCGGCTGGTTGTATGTTATGCTGAACTCGTGAAAATTCATTCTACCGGATGCTTATGGTACGTGCCTTTTTCTGTACATAGGTTATATTTCCAAGCGTATTAGCTTTCTTTTGTCTTTAAAAGAGGGTGATAACGACACCAGACTTCTGAGTTTCCTGAGAGCATTCGCAATAATAGATGAATACGATGGTCCAGCTTCAAGCTGGGGAAAAAGAGAAGAGCTCTGAGGGTTCTCATGGGGTGGCGTGAGTCAGAGAGACCCACGCTTCCAGGGGGCTTTGCTCAGATGGGTGGGTTACTCAGCCCACCAGGCTTCTGAGGAGGCAGACGGCAGCAGAGCCAGCTGCATGGTCATGGGCACTGGACCGGACTGCAGATGTAACCTGCACCCCGGCACACCCCCAAACATTCAGGAAAGCCACCGACTCCTTGCAGGGTTGTACTCCAGCCTCTGGGGACCCAGACAGGCCCGAAGCAGGAAGCAGCAGGGTGAGAAATCCCCAATCAAGGGCATCTTAACCGTCCTGGGCTTTGAGCCAAATTTATCTGCATTTCCAAGCATGAGGATGGCCCTCGGATGGTATCTGGCTATAAGAGTATAAAGTGCCTGGCCCACTATGTGCTCAATAAATGGTAGCTGATACTATTTGCCTATTGGCAAACAGTCAAGATGTACCCACCTGTAAGTACCTCAAACAAACGCCACCTTAGCACCTACCACGGGCAAGGACACCACTGGCAGCATGGCACCCAAAGATGCAGGCAGCACAGTTCCTGTTTGCAGGGTACTCGCCACACTGTAACTAAGCGAGGAGGAAACTGGACATGCACGAATGATAAAGGGCTGCCCTGTCTGTCCTTTAAGCTCGTGAAAAACGGCTCTGGACAGAAGTGGGTAGGGCCAGGCAGAACCCTGGCCAGAAGGCACTCTGAGTCCCCACACCCAGCGATGACCGAGAAGGCACAGTCTGCTGGCCTTCGGAGCTGACTCCCACAAAACCCTTTCAAATCACTGCCCCGCTTTGAACATACGCATCGGTTATAATATACCACTTACAGGTAATCGTTAATACAGCTGTACTGAAAACCCATTTCCTTCAGCCTCTCTTCCAGGATTTTTACACTTCCTTCTCCACAGGATTCCCTAAAACACAAAAACATAAAGAGAAAAATAAAAGAAGAGGATGGGAGAAGTTGTTTCTGGATGAATTCGAATTTATTTTGACCACACGCTCCTGGGGTAGTCTCCTCTCTGAAGAACTAGCTGGGAAAGTCTCTGCACCCAAAAGTAACGCTTGCTATGGGCCCACGGTGCCTCAGAGGGGGCCGCCCCAAGCGCCCAACACCTAGTCCAAAGTCTGCAGGTCAAGTGCCCCGGGAGGGCTCGCGCAGGTGCACGGGCAACGTGCCACAGGCCGTGTCATGGCCCCGCCCTCCAGCACGTCCCTGTGGTCCGGGCAGGGCAGTGCCGACTGACAGCTTGTTTGACCTACAGTGTATTAAGTTATGCTTTCAGTGGCAAGGAAAACTCACAAATCAAAAAATACTAGAAAGCGCAAATAAACAAAAGGAAAATAACACCTCACATCTCACATCGCTATAGAGATAACGGCTGCTAACATTTTGATGTAGGTCATTCTAGGCTTTTTAAATATGTTCGGTCCCATGAGACTTTTAAAATATAACGAGGGGATTCTGCTGTCCAGTGCGTTTTGTTTTCTGCTCTTGCCCACGTCTATGTATATACACATATACCTCTCTGCCATTATTTTTAATTCCTGCTTGCTCTCCCTTCCACGATCGGAACAAAATTCACAAAACCAGTGTCCTCTTGTTCAAGATCAGGGTACATTCCTATATTTTAATGTCATCGACACTACAACAAACCTTGATGAAGCTTCATTTTCATATATATACCCTTAATTATTTGTCTAAATTTATTAAAATAGGTTTTCTGGCACCGAACATTTGAATGCATATAAAGCCTCTTGATAGGCGCTGCCCAACTGAACACCATGCTGACCACCCCAAAGGGTATGAGATGTCCATTTCCCCACATCCTCATCAGCGGGGATTCTTGGCCTCCTGATGGTCATAATTAAGCGGGGAGGGGAGGTATAAAGGCAAACAGGTGGCTACGACACTGCCAGCTGCGGTTAGTAGGCACGGTATTCACACCAAAGGCAGGGCCCCGTCTCAGTGTGTGTGGAACAGGAAGGTAAACAGCATCCCCACCATCAAAGTCACAGGGAGGGAGTGCACAGGGAGGAAGCGAGGGACTGAAGGACGCCTTCCCAGAAGAAGTGGCGTTCCAGACGTTCCGTGAGGGAAGAGGACAAGGCGTTGAGTGACGTGTTTCAGAACCTTGCCAGAACCCGGCCCGGCGTCCTTCTCCGCGCCAAGCTCATTGCTCAGCAATCCTCACTGCAGAGCTTAGTCGATGGGTTATTTTACTCTTTTTTTTTTTTTTAAATAAAGGTAGCTAAAGCAATGCTAAACACAATGAGATATAAACATGCTGTTTCGAACTCTCTGTCTACGTTTTTTTTTTTTCCCTTAAAATCTCATTAGTTCGAGACCCCCCCTTTCTCAGCTCATGACCTGCAGCTCCACCCTGTGGGACAAATGTACAGCCCTGTGCTCTGACCCCTTTGTCATCTCTCCTGCAGGAGAAGCGACAGGCTGAGATGACATTCAATTGCAATTTCCTTGTCTCATTAAAGGCCGGTTCAAAGGACAATCTTTCTCTGATACACGTGAACATAACGAGCAAGCATAATTTCTAGACAAAGAGTAAGTTCTTACAGAAATAGAAAAATAATACGCATTGTTTTTCATGCAATGGTGAGTATAATTTGTCTCTTGGAAAGAGAAATGCAGGAAAAGAAAAAATATATCACTCCTTATATGGTGAGTCTTAGAGGATCCTGGGAACCTGAAATGGGGAATTTGCCAAGTTTCTTCCAGGACATACTTTCAATAACACATCCACTCATTGGGGTTGGCCATACTTGCCTCCATGCAACGTCAGTGCTCTGTAGGCCAGGGCCCAAGCTCGCCCGCGAAGGACCATCCTGGCTGCACGGCTTCAGTGTGGCTTGGCCTCGTTGGCTTGTCTCTGAAGCAACTGCGTTTTAAGTTTTTATCTACAGTTTTGCCAGGAGTGTCCTTCACCAATTAGAAGGATGAGTTCAAGCTTATCTTTATATAAACTCAAGTGGTTTCTCAGAAAATATGGGTCTCAATGGTTTCCTTGGCCAGTCATCTGAGACCCAGTGGTGGATTTGATTTGCTGTCTGAGAATAAAATCCGCATTATGCGGTCTTTGGGTCATTTCGTAAAACTCCTGGCAAGAGTTTTTGGGCTTCAAATGACCAGAAAAAGAAACTGGCTTTGACCCACACAAGTGCACGAGGGACTCCCCAATCCGAAGCTGCCCAGGTCACTCAGAAAGGAACATGACTTTCCTTGGCCGAGAGGAAAATCTGGACAAAGGAGGTTTTCTCTCTGGGCTTGGGACTGGCTAGTGGCATTTCCAGTCAAGGCTCTGCCTCTCTCTGCCCACCACATTAGAAACAGAGAGGACCATTGTTTCTCCAAAAATGAAAATATAAAACAGACTTGAGCATAACACATCCATGAAAAGCATGTTTGCACAGTTACCCTCATCAATAGCACCATGACTTACACATTGGGACCCCCGATTTCATGCATAACCCAGATCTCAATTCGTGTGATTTTATCCTTCTGGAAGTAGGGAACTTCAAAATCTGCAAAAAAACTGAAAAATAGGAAAGACTTTCTTTTTTTGAAAGTTCTAAAGCAAGATGATACTTTTCCCATTTCATTGTAAGTTGATTTACACATTATTTTTGTTTTAAAGTTCCTGGGGGTTACTTTTTATCGTACATTTTTAGGTTACTTATTTCGTTCATGTATTCATCAGCTGTTAATGGTATATTTGTAGAGATATGTCTCTGATTTCCAGGTCATTTGACTGGTTCGCTCTACCCAAACTTAGAAAAGCAAGCATTAGGTTAGGAATTAGGATTCTCTTAAGCCTCCATTCAGAATAACTAGATAAACATTTTGGCATCTCTGTTGTATTCATTGGTGTTGGTGTTCTTACCCTTTTACGGGATAGGCTCCAGTTGGCACTGAACCATTCAGCATGACGTGGATCACCCCAGAACTATCCTTGGAATACTGTAAAAAGAAACGAGTGTTTTGAGTAAATGAAGGCATGTCCTTTTTCAGCTATGCAATGGCCGATTTTTTAATTGACAATTCTCAATACTGACAAGGGTATGATAAATTTGATATTTTATACAGCTAAAAGGGATACAAAGTGTTATATTTTGAAAAGAGAATTGCTTTGCAATATCAAAAATTCGGTAATTCCATGTCTGGGAATTTACCCTAAGAAAATAATGTGACATAGTACCAGATTCCAGCACTGCATCGGCTGGATGTTATGCTGCCGTTACAAACAACCTCGATATCGCGGTGGCTTTAAACGACTAAGTTTTACGTCATGCTCACACTACGTGTTTGCCACAGGTCCACTGGAGCTTTGCTCCATAATGCCCTCACTCTGGGACCCCGACTGATGAAGTCTCCACATCTGCAAAGTCGCTAGTTCCTGAGCAGAGCGAAGGGGAAAGCGGCACATCACAGACCAGTTCTCAAGGGCTTCCTTCCACCCGGCTCCGATCACATCTCATTGGCTAGTGCAAGTCACTCATAAGTTACTTCAAGAGGCAGAGGAGTACAAAGCAGGGGCTCAGGAGGTGAGCGAGAAATACTTGGTGAATAGCGCTAAGGACCAGCTGGTGTGCAGGGACAGGCACTGAAGCAGTGTGTGTGACTCATCTAAACAGCCAACAGCAAGGGAACGACCATTAAACCGTGGTGCTCACAGTCTGAAATATTTACTCAGCCGTTAGTAAAGTCTACAAAAGATTCGCCACAGCACAGGAAGTGCTTACATTCAAAGGGAAATGCAAGATCAGGTGGGTGGAGCACGTGCTCTATTATGTTAAAAACATATAGGCAGAAGTCTGGGAATATCAGTCAACCCCGGAAATTCACAAGGGGGAGATCGTCCAGAGAGGCTCCCCAATCTCCAGTTCAGGACGCTGCTGGAACGCATAATTTCTCTGATAAAATGTTTACACTAGAGTGGGGCTTATTCTCCGGCAAGGTGACGGCCAGTGCCAGCGGCAGAGAAGCAGTGACGTGCTCTGCGTCACACATGTCACACGTGGCTCGCACACAGCACTAATGGTCATGATGAAATCCTCAGGCGTCAAGGGCTGATGGGCACTGTGGTGAAGGGGTGCCTTTAGGTAGTAGGAATTACGAATGATTAATTTTCTTATTTATATCTTTTACCATTTGTCATTTTTCTATCATGAGCAGCTGTTACATGGATGATAAGAGAAAATTTTAATAAAAAAATGCATGCAGACACCATGAGGCAGTGTGATGCAGTGGCTGAAGATTTGGTCTCTGGCTCCTCACTTAGCTCTGAATAAGTCTGGTTACGTTTCCCGACTTCTCCGTGCCCCATTTTTTCTATATGTAAAACAAGGCTAATAAGACCGCCTTCCTCATAGGACTGTTGTAAAGATCAAACCATTTAAAATAATAACTATTAAGATTTACTGACTTGTCTCTGCTATGTTTCAGATGCTCTCCTCACCATTCTGATACACCCCTCATGCTTGGACAATCCAGCATATTCTGAGGACTCATAAAAGGTAGGCACGATTATTAGATTGCTGATATAGGCCTGGAGGAAGGAAGTATAAGACGGTGGTTTAGAGCACACACTTCAAAGTCAGGCGGATGCCCTAGAATAGATGCTTCCTTCACGTGTAATGCTGACATCACCCTGAGCTGCCGTGATGATCCACATTCGGGTGATGATGCATCCATAGCCTCTCGTTCCTCAATGAGGGGCTCAGGCAGTCCATTGCCAACTGACTGTGGACTGCACACAAAACGGAACCTGTGGGTAGTGGCTGCATATGGGGTGTCCCCACTGGAGCTGGAAGGAGAGCACAGGAATACACAGAAAGCCTTCTGTCTGGAGCAGGCCCCCTGCTTAGCTTCCAACTGCAGCCAAAGTCCCTCTCACCCTAATTAACGACGGACCCAGTGGACACCTCGGGAGCCAGAGGTGGAAAGGGGACCAAAAGAGACACAGATAGCCCTGAAAGAGGTTTGGTGGCAGTGGGTGGAGGACCCTGGAGTCCATGGGCTGACCAGTCAGCATAACTAACATTTAATCATAGACGGTTCTTTGCGGAGCTCTGAGCTAAAGACTTAACCCTCTTTATTTCTAATTTTTGTTCCAACCCTGGTGATGGGAATTGTAAGCTGTACTCACTGGCGTTTTATAACTGCTGATATCTATCATCAACTCTGTAACCACCCTGTCTGAGGAATAGATTTACCGTAAGGGGATCATCTGTGTGTCTACGGTTTGTCCTCAGGCACCTACCGCCCTCTCCTGTCTCCCCCTGACAGCAACCTTGTAGATCTCTCGGACTTCCACATCTGGGCCTCCCGGAAAGCGGGGGCTACCCCGTTTTATATAGCAATGAAAACCACATTGATTCAAAATGCTAACACGTAAGAGTAACAGTAATGGCTACTTAATATCCTCATCTCTGACTCACATCCACTGAATGTGTCCTCTGTGCCAGGCAATGCACTAGGTCTGTTAGCACCTTAACTCCGCACGACGTGTGGGGCAGAGAGAAGGAATCAGCAGGTCGCAAAGGTGGACAGTGAAGCTCTGAGAAGTTAAGTAAGACCCCAACAGCAGAGTCTCCGAAGCCCTGTGCCACGTTCACCCACACCCAGCCACCCAGGATCCACCCCAGGATTACCTGGATGGACGCCCTTTTCCAGAAAGAATCCACGGCATTGTTTTCACAATCGTCTGATGTAGGGCAGGACTGGTAATCAAGCTCTAAGGGAAAAATGCACAGATGCGTTTCATTTCAAAGGTTGTGTAGGGGAGAATTAAGACAGTGGTGATTACTTCTTGGATTACATACTCCAGCTCTGAAACTAGTTCAGGTTATCATAGAATTAATAAAAAATACTGGCTCCATGTAGTATATTTAGCCTGTGTTCTGCATAACGTGACCGACTTAAACATTCACAGCTCTGCCCTCCCAATCACAAGGAGCCCAGTGAGCGACCTCTCAATCCGTGATACGAAGACACATGTCACCCGGCTCAGCACAAATGTGAGGAAGGCAGAGAACTAAGCACTTGGCTGATGAGTGAGCCTGGCTGACCGCCGAACATCAGCATATCAGCCGGGTTATTTCTCTACTGGAACTCTAGTAAAAGGGTTAAAAAAAAAAAAATCTTTGCTTTCCTGGGAGAAGCATCTTCTCCAATTAGCACTAGTCTTAGAAGTAAATACAAGAAAAATAGACCAAAAGAGCATCATCCATAGCCAGAAAATAGATATTTTATAACGGTTAAAATATATAAAATGTTCAAATATATTAAATTTAAAAAATTTTACAGCAGATATATATGACATTTGTTCATCATTCACCCTATAAAAAAACGAAGAAAATGCCAGTTAACAAGTTGTTCCACGGAGAACCAAACAGGACAAAATGTGTACTGCCTGAAGGGACATGAGTCACGGCTGCTGCAAATTTGGTGATCTGCCACTTTCTAAAGAGGCACTCCCCACCCCCGCAAAGTCCACTGCATGACTAAAGAGAAGACCACTCTTAACACTGCTTAAGACAGTGGTGATTACTTCTCGGATTGCATACTCCAGCTCTGAAACTAGTTCAGGTTATCATCTCTGCAGGTCCACGTCCCAATTTCTCAGAGATCTACGAAGCCCAGAGAGGTCCCATGGGTGGAACATGACACGGAAGGCCAGAATGTCACTCTCCAGCTTCCCGAGGCTCCTTCCTGCATTTCTGACAGCCAGGGCCTCCGGGGGGTATCTGTCCCAAGAATAATTTCTGTATTTACCTGTTGAATACTTTCTTGTTCTTAGACTACGAACAACTGGTGAGCATTATTAATGATCATTTACCTAGTTGAAGAAGGGTCTTCTTTAAAAATATTTTATCCTCACAAGTAACATATCAAAATTACGAAAGCAAAAAAGATAGTAAATATAGATACGAAAAAAAAAAAAAAGTATGACCTCATATTCCCAGCAAGTACTGCTGCTAACAGTTCGGGTTTGCTATCTTCTTGACTTTTTTCACGTGTATATTTTCATATACGTATTGTGCATGATTTTGTTTAAATTAATTTGATTTTTCACTTAAAAATATATCACAAACGCCCTTCCAGTTCAACGAATACAAAGCCCGATCCTCACTGTTCATGCCCCACAGGATTCTACGATATAAACGTACCATCATTTTGCTGACCCTAACCTCTGGACTTCACCTCCTTTTTGACAAAGACTCTGATAGAATGACATCGATAGAAACAGACAGGTTTTCTGAGACACTTTCTCTGAGCTGTTTTACTCACACTTCTGACAACAAATGCTTGATTTTGTGGGTTTTTTCCCCCATAACAATCAATTCTCTAAACTAGCTGTCCCACAATTCAATGCAATTCTAACACTAACTACGCGGAGTTAGCACAGACCCCCACAGGTAAAGGGCTCAGTCCCACAAGACTGTCCCCACTTCAGAAATCAGCTGCAAGGTGACACCCGTACTTCCAACCACCTGGCTATAAATTCAGGAGTTTCCACTCCCCGCTCCACAGGCTCCATCATTTGCTAGAAGGGCAGGAAGACATCTTATTTGCTATTACTGGTTTATCGTAGAAAGTACAACTCAAGAACAGCCAAGTGGAAGACAGGCTCAGGCCAGGGTTGGGGAGCAGGTACGTGGAGCGGCTCTGACCTCTCTCGGCTCACTGCCGTCCCGGCACCTCAGTATGTCCCCCGACTCGTAATCTCTCCAGACCCCGCCATTGAGGGACGTTTAATGGAGATTTCACTATGTAGCCACGGTTGATTAAAATCATTGGCTAGCGGTGATCGGCTCGATCTCTAGCCCGTCTCCCTTTCCTGGAGGATGGAGGATGGGGCTGAAAGTCCCAACTCTCTAACCACACCTTGGTCTTTCTAGTGGTCAACCTTCATCTGAAGCTACGGGTCCCCAACCACGAGCCATCTCATTGCCAACAAAAGTCACATTGTCACTCTTCAGATTCTAAGGATTTTAGAAGCTGTGTGCCACGAACTGGGAGGCAAAGACCAAATATTTATTTTGTTTTATACCACACTCTCCCTCTCCTCATCCTCTTCCCATCACATCCCTCTGCCCTTCTCCCCCACCCCCCGAGGCTTCCTGGTCCACTGGACCTTGCAACGCTTCCCATCTCGCTCTCAGTGAAAGCCGGGGTCCTTGCCATGTCCTGGCTGTCTGGGCCTCCTCTAATCTCCAGCCTCACAGCCTCCTACTTGTCTCTTTCCTTACCGCCCTCCTTGCTGTTCCTTAAATATGCCAGCCACGCTCCCAGCTCAGGGCCTTTGCACCTGCTGCTCCCGCTATCGGGAAACGAAAAAAATCCTTGGGCCTTCGCTCAAACATCAGCCTCTTGGTGAGGCTCTCCCTGGGCCTGTGCAGAACTACAACTCTTTCTCTTCCCTCCGCTCCAGTCCAGAACTTCCTATCCGCTTTCTCTGCTCTGCCTTTCTCTCAGCTCTTATAATCTTATGGCAGATGACATATTTTCCTGGCCTGTTTATTGTCTTATCTCTCCCCTCTGTAATGTAGGCATTTTTTCCTCTTTCATTCTCTGCTGTGTGCCCAGTGCCTAGAAGAGGAAGGCCTGGCACACAAGTAGGCACTCTACGAATTTTAGTTGGATGGAGATGAATGGAAGAGAATAAACAGAACTGAGCTTAGGTCAACTTTTAAAGTGACTCTGCTACCCAAGGAGAAAGACTCTCCAGGCTTCATGAATGGAACCCCGGCATTTTTTTCCTGTTTCATTCTCTGCTGTGTGCCCAGTGCCTAGAAGAGGAAGGCCTGGCACACAAGTAGGCACTCTACGAATTTTAGTTGGATGGAGATGAATGGAAGAGAATAAACAGAACTGAGCTTAGGTCAACTTTTAAAGTGACTCTGCTACCCAAGGAGAAAGACTCTCCAGGCTTCATGAATGGAACCCCTCCCCTACCTCCTTTCCTGGCTGACCTCACCCCTGCTTATCCTTCAAGACTCATCCAGAGCCACAAGCCACCAGGAGACTTCCTAGATGCCCTGGGCAAGGCCGCTGTCCCACTCTGCTCCACCTTAGTGCCTAGTCCCTCCTGCATCGGAGCACACGAAGGATGGAGTAAACGTCCCTCACGAGGCTGTGAGCTCCCCGAGTGTGGGGACACTTCATTGCCAGCTCCCGGCATGGGAGTGAGATGGAGGAGGAGATTTGTCACTACCATCAGGTCAGTCCTTGTGACTTTGACTTTCACTGTAATTTTACTCTCAAAATATCTGCTGGTGCCCTGGAGTGGCTTTTAAGAGCAGGGGCTTCGGCTCCGACAGAAGAGGGTTGAATCCTGGCCTCTGTCTCTTCAAGCGATTTAACCTCCCTCGGCTTCAGTTTCCCCTCTGGAAAATGAGGACGGTGAGGCAGAGCTGGGAGCATGTGCTCTGCAGTCAGACTGTCCAGCTCTGCTATTGACTAGAAATGCACCCTCGAGCGAGTTTCTTAACCTCGCCGTGCCTCAGTTTCCCCATTTGTCAAAATAGGAATTAGGATCAGATCCATCCCATGGGCTGTCGCAGAGATTACATCAGTGAACACATGTAAAGTTCTTAGAAAGTACCTAGCAAAAGGTAAGTGCTGTCTATTATTGTTATTATTATTATTATTACCACCTACCTCAGAGGATGGGGGGAGGCGGGAACCGTCAAATGAGATAAATGCATCTGAAAGCACTAAGCACAAACGGCAAATGCACAACCACCAGGAACTCTTATTTTTCTCGTGCCTTGGGCAGGGTGCTCACCGGAGGCGTTTTCCTGCCGACACCAGCTCAGGAGATCTGCAGCCCTGCCGTACAGAACGTCCTGCAAGGGCATAAAGCGACGGGCGTTCTCTGCGTAGCTGGTGACAAGGAACTGATTATTTTCCCAGAACAGGGACTAAGGGAAAACAAACACAAAATTAACCTACGACATCGAATCGAAATCGATTTTTTCTCAGGTACGACATCATCAAGGCAAGTCAGGCATCCATTTCTCGTTCCACTCGGACTTGCTTCGCAACTGCACTTTATTTTCTTTGTCCTAATTTACCAATTAGACAAAGCGTT